TCAGTAGAATAGACTGACTCTTGCAGCAAGAATGCCAGCACCAGCACCAGCACCAGCATTAGCTCCAGCCCCAGCATTGGCTCCGGCCCCAGCATTGAAGCCAAAGTTAGCACCAGCATTAGCACCACCACTAGCTCCTCCTCCAACGCCAAGTAATCCATTAGCAAGACCGCCGACAGTTCCCACAAGACCACTGACTGTGCCACCCAGTCCTGCGCCTAAAAAGTTCAGCAATTGTCTTCGAGTCGATCATATGCTATCATACTTCCACCAGCTTGTCCTCCACCACCGATTCCAAGAAGACCAAGAACGCGGGCTTTCTCATAATTTGGAACACTCTTGAACAACTTGTTGAATTAATTATTTCAAAAATATTAGGCTCACTCTGGCAGCAAGGATACCCGCACCGACACCTGCTCCACCTCCAGCACTAGCTCCTCCCCCGATGCCTCCAAGTCCTCCGAGTAATCCGTTAGCCAAACCACCGACTGTGCCCATAAGACCGTTGACGGTAGCATCTATACCAGCGCCTATAAACAGTCTTTATACATTGACAGTTGCATGTTTTCAGCTGACTTCCTCCTGCTTGTCCACCACCACCGATTCCAAGAAGTCCAAGTACGCGGGCTTTCTCATAATCGGAAATGCTCTAAACGATTTTGTTTGAGTATCTGAACAATCAGTACAATAGACTGACTCTTGCGGCAAGAATACCAGCACCAGCACCAGCATTAGCTCCAGCACCAGCGTTGGCTCCGGCCCCAGCATTAAAGCCGAAGTTGGCACCAGCATTTGCCGCACCACTGGCTCCTCCTCCGATGCCTCCGATTCCTCCGAGTAATCCATTGGCAAGTCCTCCGACAGTACCCATAAGACCGTTAACTGTTCCTCCCAAACCAGCGTCTTTAACAGTTAATAGAATGTTTTGGAGATTATAAACGCAGCATACTTGCTCCTGCTTCTCCACCACCGCCAACACCGAGAAGACCTAACACTCGGGCATCTTTATACGCAATACTCTGGAAATGTTTGTTTATAACAAAAAATTGTTTGTAAAATAGAATACCTTGGCAGATCCAAAAGCTATGAGAGCAGTCAAAAACCAGATAATTCGAATTCTGTTCATTATTGTTGAGTTGGTTAGCATTTACTGTCTCATGGAAGCTTTATATACCCCCTTTCTTCTTATCTTCGTAAGCACTAACCATATTCACAAGAAACTTTTTATTTCTTT